GACTGTGGGTCCCCATGGTCCAGTGTGAATTTTCCAGTTACTCAACTAATGAGTTAATTACCATACTTGCTTAATACACTAGATTATAGTAATACTGTAATATATGTCTGCTTTGCTTATTAAACTATGGTTTCGCTTCGCTACAGCATTACCAATTCAATCAATACACTGTGTTGCTGTCCCTAATAATCACCAAGACTTCCTGAATTTTTAAAATTAAAGCAATTTTGTTACATGTGCAGCAACAAATACAACAAGTATTTATATTATAAAACAGCAAATTGTGCATTTCTAACTTATACAATTAATAAAAAATTTTACTCATAGAAAAATGAATACAGCAAGAAGAATTTAGCAAAATGATAAATTATTAATAGATATCATGAATGCCCTGCAGCCTATTTTAAATGCCTGTACACTGTGGGTATTCTGCTTTGGAATATAAAAGTAACTGGATATGGTATGTATGTATGTATGCATGTATTCATCACATGTATGTAGAGTGAAGCATATGATATAATGTTGCAATGCATACACATTAACCACAAAGTATTTATCAAACACTACACCTAATATGTATTAACATTACAAACACTACACCTAATATGTATTAACATTACATTAAGTATCAATATAATCACATTTATACATTTGTTCATAATTTTTCACTCTCTGTGTAAAACTTACTTAATCTTTATCTGTCGTATTTGCGTAAGTAATCGCATAATTTTGCAGCTATTTCTTGACAAAACCTATATTCAGTTTCAAATAGTCTATTGAATATGTAGCTTAGCTTCATCATAATAGATGCTACAATGCAAAAAGCTTACATCAATGCAAAATTTAATGATCAACAAACTGTAACTACAAAGAATTCAGAAAAAAGGAGTAGTAGAGTGTGAACTAGCAAAATTCAAGCTCAATGTCATGTGCCGAACAGCAAAAGAAGGTGCTTTACCCTAATTCTCTCAAAGCAAATTGTAGTCTATTCAATAATCTACAATTTGGTTGTTATACAGGGGGTTAAATGAAAGCATTTAATTGGAACATGTCTGTACTCCACATTATGCTTCAGGACCATACAGGTCATTGTCATAGCATGATCAGGCTTGTCAGGTGACAGCAAATAAATGTTCTTTGTCATAATTCATAATCTCGGGGCTTTCTAAAGACTACTAAATAACTGATTCTTATCGATTAAATTACACTAAAGTTGCAATAAGTCAGAAAGGCCAAGGTACCATTTCAAAATTACAACAGTTTGTAAAGCCTCCAAAATTTCAATAATTTCTTGGATCACATATAATAATTAAATAAAAAAAAATAGTATTATCATTATTAATTATTTTGTGTAGCAATATAATTTTGAGTGGTCCAAATATTGTACAGCCATAATCTCCACTTTCAATTCTCATTTTATCATTTGAATATGATGTTTCTTGTCGACTTTTTTATGTTCATATTCAAAAAAAGAAATAAATAAAACAAATCAATAAGTATTTATGGTAATACTGAACATAATACAAAAATACTGTAATAATAATATTTGGTGTATGTGTCAGTTCGTGTTCAAACTCTTAATGGTGTTGTACTTTTTGCTCTCTCTTTAGTTTTGGTGGGTTGGGTTGACTTGTTGGTTTGTAGTGACTTTTTCTTTAATGGTGATATTGGTGTAGGACGTGCTCTGGTGGGACTTAATGACTTTGGTCTACTTGTTGCAGTGGCATGTCTTGAATTGTCTGCATTGTACAACTGTATAAACCTTCGCACTGATTGAATGGGATTCACTGCTTTATTCTTGCTGTTCTTCCCAAACACTTCAATAGCAATATCTGTGACAGACAAATATTAGAACAAAATTAATAAAGAAGAAATGTTGATGTATTTAAAAATACATATACATGGTATTAGCATAGGATCCAATAACTTACTCTAGGCATTGGCAAACTGCTTAACAGGAATAAGCAACTTACGATAGGTATTGGTAAAAATACCCATATGCAACTTAGCATAGGCATTCAAAACTTAGGCAAATCTACTAAAGCGCTGAAAACTTTTGCATATGCATTTGGCAACTTAGCGTAGGCATTGAAAACATAGAAAAAGTAACTTCCAACTTTTTCAATTTATTTTACTAGAGTGATTTATGTGAAATTGACAACTAGAGAGTGAAGCTGTCTTAAATGTTTCCATAATACTTTAAAAAATTTAAAAAAAATCAACTCCCTCAGCAACATAGTAATAAAGTACATTATATCCATCTGATGTCATTATGTCAATCAATGCTTCCCGTCCCCTACCTTTTGGAAAGAAAAAAAGTTAAAAAAAAAAAAAAAAATTGATTCCGCAAAATGCCTCAGAGGTTATTTTTGGGCGTCTAGAAAATAAGAATTTTGCGGGGCATGTCTCCAGACTCTAAGGTTGTGTTATCTCAATCGGCCCAACTTTCGGCCTCTCTCTCGGACATCTCTGGATCCTGATTAACTACTAGTAATAGTGTAAAAATGAACTTGCACACTGTCAAAGAATGTTTTCATTCTTTTTAGGATGGAAACCAGTTTAAAGTGAAGCTGTAGATTGGTGGATATGGTTTCTATCCTGCAAATAGCAGAATTTTCCTTGATGATTAATACTTCTAAAGTCTGCTTGAAAAATGTGTCCATCTTACCCAATGTCTCTTCTATCATTGGTGGTAAAACTTGCTTTAAAACTTCACAGTTTGTGTGCAGTGCTGGGTTACAGTTTATTTCCAAAACATAGACCTGAAAAAAATTAAATGAAGCATATAACCTGTCTAGAAATTACAACAATAATAAAAATACAGGAAAATAACAGTTACGATGCCATTTCTGTTTCTATGTACTCAACAAGCTGAGTGGCATGCTGTCAGTTAAGAAATCCAAAGAGTATAACAGCATGTAATACGTATTTTTCGCCGCATGACATTAACCTTAACTTTAACGTACCCAACATGCAACACGATAGTGTAATATTATGTATGGCAGTCCGCCATGTAATGCTCAAGTTGGTGTTCCCGATTCCAATGTTATGTTCCGGATGCAAAGACTGGATCTTCACTATGTAATATTGTAGTGATATGACAAGCGAGATGGTTTACTTTCAATAACTAAACTGACTACATCTCTTCTGGTTATAATGCAAAGCGTTTATTCAATGCTACTATTCTACTGCATGATATATACAATATATACAAGTAGGGTTGTGAGATGTAGGGTTTCCTTCAAGGTATCAAAAGGAAGTCTTCTCTAGATAACTAATACTTTACTTTTCATACAAGCTTGGGGTGTGGTGGACTTTCTCTGATTGGTTGAAAGATATCACCGTATCCTAATAATTTGACTATTACATCATTTTGGGGAATTTCTATTGGTCAGATAATATAACAACTTTGGGACTAGCTACGTAGTGACTCGATAAGAAGAAGACTTACAGTGAAGGAGTTGAGCACCCAGTCCTTACTCAGTCCCTTCTCACTTGCTAATCCATTGACATATTCATTAAAGCGATCCATGCTCCACACAGTGTCTTCCTTTATATCCTGGTAACTTGGATTCTTTTTTTGTTGATACTGTAAAACATACATAGTTTTCATGAAATATAAGTTCCTGTAAGTCACAGATGGGCAAACTGCAGCCCCAAGCTACATGGGGCCCAATGGCAATTTGATTGTGGCCGGTGGAAATAAATTAAAACCTTATGTGTGTGGCCCATATAACTATATGTAAAAACAGTACATGATGGTTTTTGACAAGCATATTTTTAAACGTCAAATGTTCATAAAACATCCAAACATTACATGCAGCCCAAAAATTCATTTTGATCCTCTGAACTATTTTTTTGTCCACCCCTGCTGCTGTATAGGCAATAAAATATAGACATGACCTTACCTAAGATCTTGTGAAAAAAAACAAAAAACTATATAATATTCTTTACCTGATTGGTGAGGTGGCGAGCTAGGTCATGACTGTCTGGGTCATAATTATCACATGACAACCTGCAATAGCCAGGATGGAAGAACACAATGAATGGTGTAGTGGATGCTATCAACATGTAAGACCTTACATCAAACTTCTTGCCGTCCAACAGCAGAGGATTAGCGATGTACCTAGAAATCAGGAAATTTAAAAGGTTATTCTACAAAGGAATGGAAATACATACAAGAGTAATAATTACCTGGTGATGATTTGGCAGTACACAGGGAGACAACCCCTACTCTTTTCCGAAGAGTGTACTGGGCCATAAATGAACATGGGACCAACGGCTTAGGTTCATTGAGGATATGGAATATGAAAAACAAGTAAATCATGTGAAAAAATGAAAGGTTGAATAAGAAATGCATGTCGGCTCTACAGAAATTTAAAAATATTGAAGAGGCCAGGAGTTAAAATATATTGTTATCTACAGTTTATGGAAAGATTTTAAACATGGTTCAAACTGCCATTTGCATTGGATTAAATTTTTTAAGACCAAGTGTTCTTTTACTAGATATTACTTCTGTAAATTAAATAAGGGTGCAAGCATACTTTACTACAAACTATTACATTTGGACATTAGGTCAATTATAGTAATGCTACTGTGGTTAGAGAGTAATTTAAAGCTTGGGTTTTCTGCCCATTCAGTACTTTGGTATATTTTGACTGTAACAAATAAATATTTCTACTAACATCTATTGTACATTGACAGGATTACTTTTCCTCCCAGCTACAGTAACCAAATGTCTTGAAAACTTAACAACACTAACCAAACGGCTTGAAAACTGGACTACTGAAAATATTTGTGACCGGCTCTGGCAAATCCCTCCACTTGTAGCAATTTCTAATTTCAAACTTGCACCCAAAATGTTTGGGAATTAGAATTTCGAAAAATTTCATGTATTTGCATTTTGTAAAAGTAGATATACTGTATTGAAGAACATTTCTGCAAAATATCAATCACTAAATTCAACTGTAAAGTGTATTATAATTATTTTCAAAATACAAATCCTTTTTGGAAGCTGTTTTCTCAAAATCAAGATGGCTGATATCCAATAAATTAAATATTCATTGAGTACTACAGTGTTACGTCACGATACCACTTGATACTACTCTGTTGCTATCGGCGACACAAAATGCATTCAACCGACGCCATTTTCTCCACTGACAAACAATTTATCCCAATTTCTAACGTAATTATTAAGAAGTTGTATCTTAATTTTTCTTTGTAAATGTTAATTGATGAATCAATGTGTGTTTGATAACTAATATAATGCAAGCTTTTTGTGTTTTTAGTACACTTTGATGATAAATTATTAGGGTTTAAAATGCCTATTCTAGACCTTTAAGATTATGAAGTCATTCGGGCGTAATAAACGGTAACCAACGTACAACGGGCGCCACCTGGTGTTGCGACAACACGACTGTGGTACTCTATAACTTGGCTAATACTCAACCAAATTCCATCAAATAAAGGCTGTCTTAAAGAATTCATGCTAAAAAAAAGGCAGGTTTTGCCAGAACTGCCATTTTTCAACCATAAAATCCTGTTTAAAAAGAAAGCCACAAAAAAAAAAAATAAAAAAAAATTACAGTACAGAATTTTTATTTAATCAAAACATCAGAGAGAACATCAGCCAGTATCATGGAGTGTATTTATAAGCATTAGTTCACCTAAACTAATGAACTTCATCTCTGATTCTTTGAAATTCATGTACAATATATATAATGTAGACTTATTGTACTATATTGAAGAGAAGCCCATAGGCTTCTTTTTGAGATTAAGGCCAATAAGGCATCTATTCAGGGTTTTACCATAGAGAAAGGCAGTGTTAACATGCTGAAGCATTTCAATTCCAAGGTGTCTGAAATTAATTGTAGGTCAAAAGCTGAATACTTTGATCTTAACTTTAAAATTTAACTAATGAATTTAGCATTGATTGTAAGGAAGTACATTGGTTTAGTTATGCTGGATTTAAAGAAGGCATTTGATACAGTGGACCATGTCATTCTTATAGAGAAACTCCATTCTTTCAAACTTGATCAAAGAGTTATAAATTGGTTTGGAAACTACCTTTGTTATCGTACACACCTGACACAGGTAAATGGAGTTCAATCAAGTGTAATAGTGTATGTGGTATCCCTCAGGGATCGATTTCGGGTCCTCTGTTATTTAAATTATATGTGAATGATCTACCAAAGCATGTATGTATGCAGATGATACAGCTCATTACTTTGCATCTTCCGATATAAATGAAGTGTTAATGAAAATTAATAATGATTTAGTAAATGTTAAGAAATGGTTAGCACATAACAAACTCAGTCTGAATGTACAGAAAACACAATGTATGTTCATTAGAACACATCAAAGGCTAACAAAATTATTATATGTTGATTTAGATTTAAACATAGAAAATATACAATTGCAGAGAGTAAAAAGCTGTAAACATCTACAGTATTGTTATTGATGAACATTTGTCATGGAAACAACAAATAGATAATGTTAAATGTAAAGTCTTGCCGGGTTTGTACTACTTAAAAAAAAAACTTCAGGCCTTATTCCTAAACACCTATTATGTTTAATGTAAAAAAGTATTGTTGCTCCACAATTTAACTATTGCAATGTTGTGTGGGGCAGATCAAGCCAAAAACAAAACAATAAACTACAAGTGCTGCAAAACATGGCAGCTAAAATAATTACAAAAGTAAGAGAATATGACTCAAGTACACAAGCCCTGCAAAACTTAAACTGGAATAAACTTGAAGACCAATTGTATCGAAATGAGGCTATTACTTTGTATAAGATATTCCATAATCAAGCACCACCATACTTAAACCCATTATTTACCCCTAAGGAAGAAAAATACCACACAAGATCTAATGATGTCTTGTGTTTGGAAAAACCCAAAACGGAGTACAAAGAGCGAAGTTTTTCGTATCGTGGTGCCAAATTATGGGATAGTCTTGAAAGTGCAGTTCAAAATGCAACAAATGTTTATTCATTTAAACAGTTATTACCCAATGGTGTAAGTTTTTGAATTTGTTCATGTTTACTATTATAAAAATTGTTTACTTAATGGTGTTAATCTTTTTAGTATTTTATCAATATCACGGCCTTGTAGAAGAACACCTTCGGCTGATACAAGCTTTTCTGTGTTTAAACAAAGCCTTTATTATTATTATTATTATAGTATATATATATACTTATCTCCATTTATATCTTAGTCGTCATACCTTTGAATCAGCCTTTGATTAGCATAAGGTCTTAGGTTTCTCTTTGAAGCTTTCTCTACTTGTGGATCTGTTTCATCAACACCGTACTTAGCCTTCAAATCTGTTAAATCACGTACAAGATATATGCCTTTGCCTTGATTCATACCATTTGGCTTACAAATCCATGTCTCTCCATCTGATTACAAACAGAAATACGAAATCAAGATCATAGCATAATCATTAGCAAAATTCATTAAACTTTAGTGGCAACATTGCACAATAGTGCATTAAAATGTTGTTTTTTTTTAAATTTTTATTTTGTTCAAATGACTTTACAGGGGTTTAAGGGATGATAGTGATAATGATCATCATCACACAATCATCATAAGTTGTCATGCGAGAGAATATAAGAAGCAACTGTCACAAATTCCGTTCAAGTGTCTTTGTCTTTTATAATAGTGAGGAATATGTCTTTAACTACTCATAAGTTCAAATGTTAAAACTTCTGGAAATAACAATACTGAAGTTTAGTACAAACCTTTGAATGTCTGAAAGAATGCATCCCTATCTGACTTAATATCCAACACAAAAGATTCTGGAAAGAAATCATTCATGCGTATAGATCGGGGGGATTTAGGTTTAGAAATTCGATCAAGCACACGATCATATTCCCTGAGACTGCCGAAAAGACCAGTCTTAGTTGTCAACAAGTAACCATTAGGGATCCTGTTTACCATTTGGTCACCTGTAACAAACATTAAAGAAAATGAAATGAGATGTTAATACATGCTGGCTACTATTCATGTAATAGTATCTGATGGCTGCTTATCAGAGGATCTCAAGCTCCAGAGAAAGAAAAGGCTGTGGCCCCTCCAAAACATTTACCAAACAAAAATCATTTTACACTGAGCCTCTAGGACTGAAATATTCACCGTCATACAAGAACACCCCTTTCTTATCTGATATTAACAGTCTATTTACCTTGTTTGAATGATGCATAGTTGATTTGAGATTTTAGTTCAACCCAGCGAAGGCGATAGTTGTCACTATGTTTATCATAAATACGACACCACCCCCGGGCCAGCAATGGTTCTTCTACTCTGAAAATAATAAAACAGTAAAAATGTAAGGAAGTATTTATGAATTAGTAATAAAATTATTATGTTAGAAAAAATATTACTGGGTCTATGGGGCAACCCGCCACATCCAGTGGTAAGGCGATTGTTGTTGATTTAGAGGTACTGTACACACTCAGTTTAAATACTATCAACAGTCATTTTGCAATTTCTGTATGAAATACTTAAACTAAAGACAAAGGCAATTTGCTGAATTGCAGAATAAGATGTTTCTTTTAACTAAGATGATCTATGAGTTAGAAGAATGTTGTTTGTATGACTCCAGTCTAGGCCCGTGTTCACACAATGAGGGTATGCTCACTGCAAATAATTCTCTATGCAAACATTTTCAAGCTTTCGAACTGTTTCTTTCACTAAATTCCAAAAGGTCGAAATTACTGGAGTTTATTTAGGATCATTTACTAAGGCTTTTCGATAAGTTAATCCACACTAAAATGTACAAATATCAAAAAAACAGTCAAAATGTATTTGAGCAGAGGCTTATTATTGTGTGAAAAAATGCCACCTAGCGGTGTGTTTTAATGTTACACCCACTATACTTCAGTGACTAATTCAGTCTATTATGATCCATCTTAATGGGTCTATATGGCAAACATGTCAACTGTATGTTATAAACCATGACATATATATTTGAGTATTTGTTTGCAGTGTACCGCATAGATCATTCTGAAACAAACCATAGCTTATTGAAAATGCCTCCATCATATTTTAATTAGTTATCCATTGAAATCTTCAAACAATATATTTGTCTTACAGTGCTACACCATTTCCTCCACCAATGTAGAAGTATGGACCATGCCCACGAACTTTTTCTGATGAAGACTGTACATCCAAAGAATTTGATCTAGATTTATCTGTTTGCTGCCCTCTATTACCAGCTTTACCATTATCCCCACTAGATTTTTTGGTATTCAATTTTCCATCGGTTGAATTTGTTTCTGAAAAAAATAAAATTACCAGTAAATGTTATAATTTATACTTTGAAATCTATAATGATAATAGTATATTATTGTGATTATCTACTCTTTTATTATCTTTTTTAAACATGTCTTGACCTTTTGTACTGTAAACAAAAATTGGGGCAATCACAAAATATCAGGCACATCAAAAACAGTATACTGTAGTATTTGGTGATTGTATTGAATTGTCATGTATTTCATTTCTCGCATAAAAGAGGGCCCCAGTACATCAGCTGACCTTGAAAAAAAGGCCTCAGAAAAATGGCCCCGGTAAAAATGACTCCAAACAACAGGTAGGTACACCTATTGTACAGTACTGTATTTATTATAGAGAGTATTACATAGTCACACATTCTGCACATAAGGTACAGATATAATTTTTTGGTTTTTCTAGTTTTTAAAAAATAAAAATATCATTTGACATTTTACCTCAGCCTCAATTTGTTCTTGATTTTTAAGCAATTTCAGCCTCAGTGTTCTTATAAAATGTGTTCATATAAAAAAAAAAATGTATTATATCCACAGCAACATCTGGAAACAAGCTCGCAATTATTAATGAACTTGTCAGTTAAAAGTATCTTGGTAAATGCATTTAATAATGCATTGTACAGATTACAAGTCTGCAGGGATTGTGTTTCAACTGTACCAGCTGTACAACCGGGCAGTATGTTAGTTTACCATTCAAACACACTTCAAGTTTTAGAATTAATTTAAGCAAGAACATAGTGTTCTGTTACAACACAATCTTGCAATAAGTATGATTATTTTGTTTTACCAGAGGAACAGGAAACAAAGAAATTTGGAAAATAATATGCAATTTAATTAAATTTTGAACAATTTCCATTAAAAAAAGCAAATTATGTGTTCAAACAAAACCATGTTTTGCTAGAAAAGTCATTGTTTTTAAATGCCAGATGCCTAACATTAGTAAAGAGTAATATTAAAACTGAGCATAAAGTGGTTATAAAGCAGTGCATGAAGGTTTTAGCAAGCACACTGGAAACATCAGGGTTTGCGTGCAACCCTCATTGTTAAATCAAAAGTTAATTTCGGCCCTCAGACCCAATTTTATGCCTACCCTTGCTTTAAAACTTGTCACCAAATGAAACACTTTATGTATATGTACAGATTATATTTATTCTATCACGAAAATACTTATGGAAACCTTAACCTGATATATAATCAAATTTTTTTTCAACAAATAATAGTTATGTATATTGCACAGCTAAGGTGACTGAATAATACATGTAAAATGCATGACTTGAGTGAAGGAACATTATATGCAATTGCGTGACTGAATAATACATGCAGACTGTATGGCTTGGTGATAAATAGTACAATTGAGATTTCATGGTTCGGATTTAACCCAAGTAATACATGGAGATTGAATGGCAGGTCAAAGTAGGAAAAATTATGTTACTGAATGGTAACAAGCCAAATGGATTGTGTTTATTCTTGACCATTCTCTTGGCCACTGTCAGGCTCAAAAAGTGAAAAGATCGCAAGTGTGAGGAATTCTAAAGATTTTACAATTGCAGGCAAACACTCAGGAAGAGGAGACTTAACCCCAACAGGTTGCAGCTCAATGAAGCACAAGAGAAGGAAATCTTGGATTTGAAGCAAAAGATGATTCACATCAATACCATTGCACTTACTACAATCCAAAACAAAATATTCAACTGCCTAAAAACATACACCGTTGGCTAGCAAATTTGAATATGGAATTATTTGGGCCATATGACAAAAGATAATAAATCAATCAACTCTATATTATCTACATATCTATTTTCATCTTATTATCTTTCCTCACCCTTTTTTTTTTTTTTTATCATTTTTGCATTATTCCTTCAGTTAATAAAATATTTAGCCGTACATATTTATTATTACAAACAATGAACCAAATTTAAACATTTACAGAATTAAAAATTTAGACATCCCTCGCTCCACACTCATAAATAGGGAGAACATATCTTTGTTAATAGACACTGGGTAAATATTGATAAATTATGTAATAAAATCTTGTCCTAATGTAAAATTATAATATATAGTATAATGGTAGAATTTAATATTTACAATTTATTCATATTGTCATGTCTATGCACTTGCAACAGGCACTGGATCAAATAGCTATTTATTTATACAGGTATAATATAAAAATACACGCAGGCAAAGGCTGAAATGAGTGTATTTACGAAGGATTAAGAATATTTAAAATATCATATGTATATAAAATCACACTAAGGAAGGACAAAACATGAAGAATAAAACAATTGGAGGAATTTTGCAGCAGTAATTACGTCATTGGTGTTGAACCTTTTAGTGGTGGTACTTTTTTTTGGTTATGAAAAGTATTATCTTGTAATTTATATATTTAAGGAAACAATATGGGAATAAAAAATAGGTGCCCCAACCGATATTAAAACCGGGACCTTCTGCCTTAATCAACTAGCCCATTGAGGCTTTGTTGGGAATTCAAATCTGATTAAAGCATCTAATTCCTTTATGCTCATGCGCATGCGTATTAGACAACACTGATCTTTGACACAGACACAGATACACACAAACACATAAATATATATATAAAGAAGAGGAATCTATGAGTGTGAAAACATAGATGCCCCAACCAGGATTCTAACCCAGGAGCTTCTGCGGAATATACTTGTATAATAATGAATGAGATATTTATAATGAATGGTAGTTTGCAAAGTAGTTGGTGTGATATTTTAGTTGAATAGATAAGCTAATTTGTCCTTAGAATGAAAATCACACTTCCTCCACAGGGATATGGGGTGACCTATGTAGGTTTGACCTGGTTACCATCAAAGTTCAATGATAATTTTTGAATGAGCCGGGTTGTAACGTGTGTCAATCAGTGGTTTTGTAATAACAGTTAGTAATCATCAACTAGGCCAGATAGGACATGACAA